TTGGGGTTCAGGAGGGGGCTCCAGGCTGGGGGGTGGGGCCAAAGGGATTCAGAGTGCAGGATGGGGCTGTGGGTTGAGGCAGGGGGTTGGGGTGCAGGAGAGGGTACGGGCTCTGGGCTGGGGGTGCAGGCTCTGGGGATGAGGGGGTTTGGGGTGCAGGAGGGGGCTCCAGGTTTGGGGGGGCTCAGGGCAAGGGGTTGGGGCTCGGGGTTGGGGCCAGGCTTACTTTGGGAGGCTCTCAGGCAGCGGTGCAGCAGCGCTAAGGCAGGCTCTCTACCTATCCTGGCACCGCGTCCTGGAAGTGCCAGCAGGTCTGGCTCCTAGGTGGGGCCAGGAGGCTCCATGCACTGCTCTCGCCCCCCAGCTCCCATTGCCCGCGGTTCCCGGCCACTGGAGCTGGTGCTCGGGGCGGGAGCAACGCGTGGAGCCCCATGGCCCCCCCGCCTAGAAGCCGGACCTGCTGCTGGCTGCTTTCGGGGTACAGCGTGGTGCCAGGACAGGTAGGGACTAGCCTGCCTTAGCCCTGCAGCACCGCCGATGGGACTTTTAGTGGCCCGGTCGGCGGTGCTGATCAGAGCCACCAGGGTTGCTTTTTGACCAGGCATTCCGGTTGAAAACCAGACACTTGGAAACACTACAAGAAGGTGGGTTGATGAGCTGGTTAACAGGGTGGAGGGATGTGAATTGTGGTATTTGTGTAGCAGTTCAAGTAATAAATTAATGGTCAAAATGTTGTACTGAATATTTTTAAATTTTGTAACATGCCAAGGTTATAATATTTGTGCTACAAAATCATAATAAATACATGGGAGTTATTTTATTTGAGCAAGGAATAAATTAAATAGATTTCCACTTTGTCAAGTTAGGTAGTATTTAGAACTAGTCAGAAAATGGGGTGGGGGAAAGTTCCCCATGGAAAACTTCAATGAAAACAGAAATGTTTTCCCTGAAATTTTCTGTGGAAAATTTCGACATTTTGTTGAATAACGGAAAATTTCCAGGTGAAAATTCTAAAAAGTTGTCTGGAAAGTTTTTGACAACTACTTAAAATTTTCAATTGAAAGCAGAGTTGTTGTAGCCATATTGGTCCCAGGATATTAGAGAGACAAGGTGGGTGACAAGAAGAAGAACTCTTTGTAAGCTCAAAAGTTTGTCTCTCTCACCAACAAAAACTGATCCAATGGAAAGTGGACATTTTTCATTAAAAACGTCACTTAGTCCAAATCCAATTATCCATCAAGGAACAGTTGGAGGGAAATTTTTTCATGAGACCTAATAGTAGTGTGTGTTTAAGCAAAACCTAGATATCAACAAGGAATGTAATAAGTTAAAGGGGTAACAGTCAGTTTGGTGCATGGAAGTAGCAGGCCATCTTTCCTAGGGGTCAAAAGGAAATTTTCCGTTGATCAGGCTTTTAACCCCTCACCAAGTTGGTGAAAGGATTTTTGGCCTGGGAGTAGTTTTACCTTCTTCTC